GTGCATCACATGGTGATGCACGCATATACCTCCCCGCGTGGCCACGTGCATCACATGGTGATGCATCAGATTCAAACTCACATTTATGTTTTCGTTATGGAACAATATCGGTCAAAAACTGCAACCATACGTTTTCGAATATGCTGAATAACATATCTGTCTGGGACTCCACCAACACCAAAATGTGATATATCCAGACAATCTTTTGAACAACAAATCTCACGTTAACAAAAAGTTTTATTATAATACATCTTTCTCCTGTCTTCGTCTGAAGAAATTGATAGGAATCATAGTAGTTGTACTTGAGCTACTGCCCAGACATGTACTGTGATGAATTTAGAACTCGTAAACTTCTTCGATGAAATTGTAGCATTTTGGCAAAAATACTAGAGAGAGCCCGCAAAGTTTTCTTTGTGATGAAACGGTTTATTGTATGAAAACATGATAATTTAGACACTGATGCTGACGTTTCACGTGGGATTGCTTGTAGTGAAAACGGAAACTTGTACAACTCCTCGATGAAAGTGATAACAAGCTATCGATCAACATCCCGTATAACCCAAGTGAAGTGGACAACTCGTAACGTCTTGCAAAAAATGATAACTACGCGCTTACAGTAGAATTCCCGCACTTTGTTCGTGATGAAATCATATGTCACAATAAGCTGATGCACGAATGAGCTCCACACTTTCCATCCTACTACCATAATCGAAACCAGAACTTTACTGGATTCAACATAGCTCTCGGCAAATGGGGAAAAGGGATCAAAGAAGGCATGTGCAGAAGCAACTGCATTTTTCGTGCGATTAAAAATAAAAAAAAAACCCCCCCCCTTTTTCAACATCAAGAAATTTCCGGTTCGTAGGATTTGTTAATACTAGATTGTGTCAAGCTAATATCGTGAAGTGTACAGAAGATCAGTATTAGAAAAACTAAATTGTTATCAAGAAGATGTTAACAACAGAATATATTTCTTAGATTGCAAAGTACTAGGCAGTTTCTTGTTCTCCATATGCGAAAACGCATCCGAACAAATTTCGGCTTCAACTGAAGAGTGAAATTCAGATTGTTCAGAAAATATACCGTTCCCTGTGGCCAAGTGCATCACATGGTGATGCATGCCGCTAGCCGAAAAAAAAATCGCTTGGCCACGTGCGCGGGAAAAGCGCAGAGAGCGCCGGTCCGCAATGTGTTAAAAGAATACGAGATATTATTTCGGATCAGTATTGACCGATGTTTCTTAAGGTTTTTCGGTTAGGCTGCTTTCATAGTTCGCATCGGTGCGGTCGGTGCCGACGGCGGCGTCGGCGCCGACCGCGCCGACCGCACCGACAGTGTGAAGAGCGTCAACACGCGCTCTGGCGCATGACGCGTGCGCTGGGCGCAGATGGGGCGCTCCGGTCGATAATCTTGGTTTTGGTGTATTTCTTCGATGTTTTTTGCACTCACTTCATATGAATAAACAAAATTGCTTACGACCAACACACCCGGTATGGCCACATCCACCCGGAGTTGTGCGACGGTTCACGACGTCGCTCGCCCGCGGAACAACTGGAAAGTATTAATCAAGACATAAAAGGGCGCAATGTGGCTCGGGGGGGGGGGCCGCCGCGCGGGGCGTTGCGGCAACAGGAAATTCGCAAGCCAGGGGGAGTGTAGCCAATTTCAGGGGGGGGGGTGAGGGCAGTCACTTAGCATGCGTGAGAAGCTGAAATGTCCCGTGAAAAGCTGGAATGTTCGAGTTACACTACATCGCTGAGCCGCGCACCGACTTCCCCCCCCCCCCGAGCCACATTGCGCCCATAAAAGAATAAGTATGAACAGGAAACACACGAATTAAAGCAACACGGCGCGAAAAAAAACATCGAAAAGCACAAGAAATACACCAAAACCAGGATTATCGATCGGAGCACGCGATCTGCGCCCAACGTTCGCGTCATGCGCCAGAGTGCGTATTGACGCTCTTCACACTGTCGGTGCGGTCGGCGCCGTCGGCGCCGTCGGCACCGACCGCACCGATGCGAACTATGAAAGCAGCCTTTCGCAATTGAACTGGGGTCTGTTCCAATATGGGGAGCGGAGGAATGAGGATGGACAGTTCGGGAAATGTGAAATTGCTCAAGATTTGAGTTCTCCACTCCCCGCTAACGGGGCTAGATTAAGTTTTCTAACAAATGATAGTATGTGTTTTACGTCGTTTGAATCGTTGCGAAACGTAGCTCTCATTGCGATTTGCGCAACGACTTTCTAAAGCAGCAGAAAAAAAACGCTTGAATTTTCAATTCCAGTTTAAGAGACCGTCCGGCACTGAAGCGCTACGTATTTGAATAAATTCCCATTTCTGGCTTCAAGAGATGCCGTACATAGATAATTTTAGAATTTGGGCTTAACTTTTTGTTGGTGACTTTCAAAGGCGTGTTGTTGGCGCACCGGGATCAAAGTCAAAGGAAATAGAATTGGCGAAATTTTAGGAGTGGATGAGAAAGGGAATTAGTGGTGTCAGAGAAGGTCGGCTGGAGAGGGGGATGCTTGCAAGAAAAATGGTCCGTTGGAATTCGAGGAGGCGTTAGGGAAAACTAATTCATTACCGCCGACATCGCATGCTTCTACACTCTTCACGGGATTACACGTTAGATGAAGCTTATTAACCCTTGCATCTCCACATGGCTCTTTGTGAGTCCAAAAATCAAAGCACAAAAACCTTGAGAGAATTTTTTGGTGGTTTGGAAAATATTGCGTGTTAGAGCTCGAGAATCAAGCATGGCAGTTTCGTATGATTCAGCCATCACCTAAAAGGCATTCAACTCCAATGGGAGACTTTTGTTTAGACCAGATTTTATGCGATATGAACTAAAACGCTGAATAATATTAATACTAAAACGAAACTGGCAAAAGATGACTGCCAAGGAAAGTTGTATTGGGGGCGGTCAATCAAAGTTGGCTAAAATAAAGTGTTGTATATAAACCGTGCAGGATCTCAGGTTCTCAGAGTCGTCGCGGAGTTGTGGTAGTGCTCTCGCTCTTCACTCGGAAGGTCATAAGCTCTATTCCCGTTAGAATGCGAATTCCAAGGGCAGTACCTCTACTCCATGGCGAAGTTTTGAGGGGGAAAAGCCAAACTCTAGCACTATTTATGCAAACGCTTATTTCCAGATCACTTTCTTCGACTGCGACAAACCGTGCAGGCTCAACGTAACAAATTCACTGTGGACTATGTTCCACTGGTCCTGCTATGCTCTCTCGCCTTGATGGGCAGTCGTCTGCCCGACTATCTGTGTAGTCGACTCGCCCACCTCCGGAAAATCCTTAATCTCAGTGATTTTTGCAATTTCGTGTTACTCAATGGGGTGCCCATAACAACTTAATGCTCATATCTGAACCAATATGATTTTTAAGTCGTGGAGATGAGCTTTTAAAAAACAGAAATGGGTGAATCTTGAATGATTGATTTGTGATAACAAGTTGCCCAGTATTTGGAGAGAGTATCATTCAAGTGGTGACGAATTTGAACGAGACATCTTGATCCCCGAATCGTTGCGAAAAATAAGTGATCTCTTGTTTCCTTAATAAGGCGTCGTAGGTGGTTGTCGTAGATGACTGCAGTCACCGTTTGGAATGATAGCCTCGATGTCTTTCTGCCGTGTGAGCAGCACTTTCTTATGAATCTCTCGAGCAGTTAAGCAGATGTCGATATTGTTATGATAAACAGCTTGGAATCACTGAAGTGAAGGAAAAAAAAATGGGATATGGTAATAAAGATGGTTTAACGAACCACCTTCTACTCTTCCCAGTGAGGGAAAGCAAGAATTTCTTCCATGCTTATGTTAGCAAAGCCTCGAGCAAGCGGCAATTTTCTTTTGAAGGCAAGCCACTGGAAAATTGGGTTTGTAGGAGAGTTTGGTAATGAAATTGATGATTGGGGAGTGGTCTGAAAAAAAAAACAAAGCAGACGAAACCCTCGACTACACCCGAGTAAGGGACCACGTCTTTTCAGCCGCCTACTGCGGGATAGATAAGGGGCGTGTTGGACTAGATTCATGAACCTTGCTCTAGTGCCAGTGACACTGAAGCATACAACCGCTGAAACCGATTCGTAGAAGTGGCAAACCAGCCCTTTTAGCGTTTCTGCTGGGGCCGTATGCTGAATGTTAGGGAGGGGATGGGGTCCTCGTCGGTTGACGGACACTTCAACCCGGTCCTTAAAACCGCCTCAATTTGATGCTCACCTCAGGACTAAGCCCTAAAGAGAGGATTGCGAATAGCGTCATTCCTCTCTCCAAGGTATGTCTAGGTAAGACAAACCACCTTTTTGATGGAGCTGCTGGAACAGCTTGCAACCCACTTCCTCCTTCCGACGATTGACTCCGTCGAGTCGTCGGGTGTATCCATCCATCCCAACATTCGGCTCCAGCAGAAACGCAAGAAGGGTGTTTTTGCTCACCTATACCAAGATAACGGAAAGCGGAGTTCTGCGGCGAATGTGTGTATTGCGGCAGTGCGATGCTTATACATGTGCGCAGTAAGTAGGTCGCCGCGCCGGCCGCCGCAGCCAGCAATATCGCGGCGAATTTGCAAAGAGCTCAGCATTCAAACATTGGAGAATGTAAGATTAGATTAAGTTTCCAGTAATGAAACATGAAATAGGAACCACCTTACCCTTTAAAATGCAGTTTCGTTTTCGCTCGCCATTATTACATACTTATCATATCATACTTATGTTAGAGCCTTCCTCGCCGCTACTCTGTG